AGTCTTATGAAGAGCAGCTGAGGGAACTGGGGCTGTTTAGTCTTAAGAAAAGGAGGCTGAGGGGAGACCTTACTGCTCTCTACAACTGCCTGAGAGGGCATTGTAGAGAGGTAGGTGCTGGTCTCTTCTCACAGGTAATTAATGATAGAACAAGAGGGAACGGACTCAAGTTGCACCAGGGTAGGTTTAGATTAGACATTAGGAATATTTTTTTCACCGAAAGTGTTGTCAGACATTGGAATGGGCTGCCCAGGGAGGTGGTTGAGTCACCATCCCTTAATGTGTTTAAAGGTCGTTTAGATGTGGTGCTTGGAGATACGGTTTAGGGGTGTACTTGGTAGAGTGGGGTTGATGGTTGGACTTGATGATCTTAAAGGTCTTTTCCAACCTGAATGATTCTGTGATTCTACTTAAATAATATCACATCATGTGGCATGCAACATAAAAGCATATACCTTGCAGTACCTGGAAATAATTGTATCTGAATTGTCATATAGGGTAAAGCTGTTGCTCTGATTCAACAGCTACCACTAGTCTAGAGTATGAATTTAAAAAAAAAAAAAAGTTTGTTGGATAATGTTGCCTTTAAAAGCACATAAAAGTATTTAAAAAGCTTTATTCTCGTTGAAACAGAACCCAAAGGGCCTTTTTTGTTTGTATGTTTGTTTGTTTACTTGTTTTTTTTTTTCTTAGAACTATTTTGATGGAAAACTTTCCCCTCAAGGGAAAATGCCTTGGATTGAATACAATCACAAGAAAGTATCTGGCACCGAGTTCATTATTGATTTTTTGGAAGAGAAACTTGGCGTGAATTTAAATAAACACCTCGGTCCGCATGAAAGAGCTGTTTCCAGAGCCGTGACAAAAATGGTGGAGGAGCACTTCTACTGGTAAGCTTGCATGGTGAAGCTGGCTACGTTCTCGTGCTGTCAGATCTGCCCCTGCGCTCGTACCTGGGCATGAATGGATGTTTTTTTCTTGCAGAAAGCTTGGGTACCTAATGATTAATTTCACAACTCTCTTCACCCTAGAAAACTACTGCTGTTGCTTTCTGCGTACGCTAGTATGAGCTGGGGGTAACTCCCCTGAGAGTTGTAGCGCTGTGCAGGCGAGGTAAGGAGTGAGGCCCTTCGCCTGCAGCTTTACAGAAAGGAGCAGCACTGGGCTGTTCCTCTCTCCTGTTTTCCTATGACCTCCGTATAGAAACAGCCTTGTTAATAAAGAGCAAAAAATGAAGGTGGCTGAACACATTTGTGGTTTGCAGGGGAGGGCAACAAATCCAGCGTTCGGTTTGAATCCAGAATATTGTATTCTTACAGTTACTGGTTTTAATTAGCTGTGTGTGGAATTAGAGTATGGATTATTGCATTTCCTGTAACACAGGATACCCATCCCTGTTAGTGTGTATTGTTTGCAACACTGACAGTTGAGGGGGTACAGTATTGGTCACAGTATCCTGAGAAGGTGAAGTATGTATATGAATGGAAAACATAAATATAAACTTGCTGGTACTTTATGCATTTTACCGACGCCTTTCAAAATAGTACCTGTGATTCCCTCCTCGCTTGACATTTCAGTCCTTTTTAAGTGCCCTTTCCAATCTGGATTCGTAGAAGTAGCAGGTGGACATGGCATCTTGGATGCTGCATTGGTTGCCTCAGCAGGCACAGGGCATTTTCCCCCACAGTTTGCTTTCTAGCATGCATTTAAGTCTTTGCTGTACTAAGCCTTGCATTTATGTTGCACTTTTTTTCCTCCAGAACAACGTGTGATTTAAATTGAAAGCATTTACGTGCTTTTTCTTTTACCTTCTGATCGAAGGTGGGCAGAAACATGTGTACGTACAGTTCTTCAGATAATTTTTGGTGTTTCCTGGGAACAGTTTTAGCATTCAGTAGGCAGGTTTAAATGGTACGGTTTAGAAATGTAGTCCCTGCCTTCTAAGAAGTGTGACCTTCAGCAATTATACCCATCTGCAGTGCCATAGCCACAAAAACCTGACTTAAGTAGCCTGCAAATGTAACTTTTTTGTTTATTTTTCTCACTTCAATTATTATAGTTACTAAAGGGAAGATGAGGCCTTTTAATGCTCCATCTCCTTGCCTTAGTGTCAGTTGTTTTGTGGTCCATCAACTTAACTACTTTAAATGTAACATTACTGGTGATACTGGTGACAAAACTGTGGTGCCTGAATTACAGGTCGTGCTTTCCCCTGTGGAGCTGTTTTCTGTCTGTCCATGTTTTCTCCCTGAGCTGACTTGGGCCTGCTGGACATGATGTAAGGGAGCACGGGGGGCAGATATTGCAAATTCAGGTGCTGACCCAGGGAGGTGGACAAAGCTAGACCAAGTAAGAATAGAGATGTGCACACCTGGCTGTGTATCCCTGTTGCCTTTCCTGTTTAGTCACACCGTTGAGTTTCCCCAAGGTGTGTATTTTTGCTGCAGTGTAGTAAAACACCCAACTGTAAGTCTTACTGTGCATCCCTGCTGTGTGGCTGTACCAGAGGCTTGCTACGTTGGTGAGGTTACACCGTGCCATTCTCTATACTAGGCAAAGCCTGAGCTAGGAGGCGTCACAGTTGTACCGCTGTAATTCCTGGATAACAACTTTGACCATCCTGTAGTTACACCAAAATAAAATCAGGCTTTAGCTGTGTAGGACTGCGTTTCTCCCTGACAGCATTGCACCTGCGGTTGTGGAATCCCTTCACATTGGTCCTTGAACCTGCCCACTTCCCACCAGAAGCTTGGGATTTGTTCATGGTGTCCTCAAGTCCCCTGGTGAGGAATTTGTAACAGTGATTGCCTTTCTGCAGAATAAGGTTTATAAAATCAAGCCTTCAAACCAGTGATATAAAATATGATTCATGCTGTTCCCTTGCCAGCAGTGTGCAAAGTAGCTTCATCATAAATAAGTAATACTGTAGTACATTTACTGAACAGAGAAGCAAAGTACATCCTGTGGTGTGCGGTCTCTGGATGGAGCTAATTCTGGTGGGTGCGCAGCACTTCCTCATGAAATGTTTAGCTTTGGCCAAGGTGATTGCTCCTCTTCTTCACCAATTAGTGCTTCTTACAGGTGGAAATTGCTTCTCTGGCTGGAGTTGAAGAGCTGTTATGAACCTCAGCCTCTAGACACCCTGCCTCTGCCCCAGGCTGCGATGCCTGGCAGGGGTCAGGCAGAAAACAAATGAGTGAGCGTGCCTATTTTTGTGCTTAGAGCATATCTCCGAGATGCACAAGACTGATTTGGAGCTGATGCTGGAGCTTCTGTCCCTGAAGAATCCCATAGCTATTAGGCTTTTGCTATGCTTAAACTGGCAAAAGAAAAAAAGCCTGCTACCTGAATGGGTGTTGGGCCTAGTCAGTAGGGAAGGGATGGGAGCAGATCAGTTTTGTGGCTCTCCAGGTCCAGGATCTGGTGCAGACTTCTGTTGTCTGCTGAAGGCTTGCCCTGGGTTGTCTCTGCTGCCTGCAGTGACCCGTGGGCCCTCAGAAACCAGCGGGGTGCCCACAGCCACCTTCAGGATGCATTGAGTTTTTGGTGTATCTGCAGCATGTTTGTGGGCTCGGACCTCTATGTGAGATGGGTCGAGGACATCTGATTCTCACATCCTTCTGGTGCAGGCACGCTGGGTTTGGCGGCATGGCCAGCGTTCAAGCCAGGGAGCTCCTGGTGCCTGGAGGGCTACCAGTCGCTGTGAGGTGCTTTCTGGCACTTTAATCTCAGGAGAGGGATCTTAGGTCAGTGACACTTAAGGTGCTTAGTAAGAACCTAAAGCCTTGAATATGCAGCTTAACCAAACTAACCCGTTAGATTGGTTTAGCTGTATTGTCAGACACAACCTTAGTGATTCGTAAGTGTGTGTGTGTATGTATTTAACTTGTTTCTTGCTTTGTCTTTCAAGAAGACCATGTAAACGTCACATATGTGATGAGTGCTTGAAGTACAGGAGGAGCATGGTATGAGAATACAAATGAATCTGACTTGGGTTGGTATTCAGACTTCCCATGTATTAAACATAAAATGTTTGTAATAAAAATATGTTTAAATATATCAAGCCAATTGTAAGAGCAATGTCTCCCCTGCTGTTAATGATGATGAGGCTTGAATGCCACTGGTGGCTTAAAAGCCAGTTGCTCTGGGAAGCTGCACAGCAGGTGGGGTTTCTACAGCTGATTGTGGAATGAATTTGTTATAATCCTTTTGTATATCAAGAAATTCCAGTCTGCACAAGTTCAGATAGGGAAAATAAGCCCAGTTCACATCCTTGTGAACATCTCCCGCTTGCCTTGATGTTCAGACAGTTTGGGGATAATCAGGCAAGCCGCAGTTGATGAGTCACTTTCTCCTTAAAAAATTATGTATTGAGGCCAAAGCTGCTGTTACATTTAAGACTTCAGATTTGCTTCACCCCCACAGCATTGCTCTTTAACACTTTGTTGTTTTATTTATGCGCTTAGGATTCGTACAGATGTGCTGGCACAAATGGGAATGTTAATCTTTCCCAAAATGTTCAGTTCAATATTTAAAATAATTATGTCATCCTGTAAATACTGATGGTAGTTTAAAATGTATAGTTATGCTGAAGTAGGTTGTGTAGACTACCCAATTTCTGGCATTTGCTAACCTTTTGTAATGTTGGTATTACTCTAGTAATGTAGTTTGAGCAGGGGGATGACGGGTGGGATTAAATGCAGAGGAGCATGTTCTGATAGGAAGCACAGATTATTGAACTTTTGAATAGAATTATTTTAACAAAGTGCTTGTAAAGCCAGTTTTAAAAGTGTTTTTAACTCTCTCTGGAATCTGAGCCTGCTTTTTTTCTTTGCTTTTGCGTGCTCAGAAACATAAGATTTCAGGAGTAAACTTTGTGGTTGTCTGTTTAGCTGCCTTCATTGCCCATGTATATTTGAGATTTGGGACATGTGACAACTTTACTCATTCAGAGTGACAAGCAGTCTTAAGACTGTGCTTGACAGTTTAGCCTAAGCAGGATTACCTAAATCCTGTGCAGTTCTGCTCTTTTGGTGTTTCTGTCCTGATCGCTAAATACTTTGTCTGATCTCTGCCTCTTCCAGACCCAAAGACCTTCTCCCCTAGAGCAAGCAAATGGTAGGGAAATGTATTTTTGCTTTAAAGTGGAGGCTAATTATCTTTGTGGGAAATGTTGTTCATCCTGTCTCATGAAAGTAAAGCCATCCTGGACGTGGTTGATCATTCTTGGTGTGGTGCCAGCTTGCTGGTGTGGTTGGAGTGAACAATAGTGATGGGAGGTCCATAGGGCTGAGTTGGTCTTGTGTGATTGGGGTGACTTTGAAAAAATGCTGCAGCAGAGTCTCTTTTTTTTTTTTTTTTTTTTTTTTTCCTGTTTTGTTTTGGCTTCTTTTTCTTGTTGTCCCTTACCATGGCCATGCCTGTTGTCCTAAAGCAGCTAAGTTGTGTCGTGGAGTTGCTGGGTGTAGCTAGTCAGGTCCATGCTGGGGAAGGAGGGTCTTTGCAGTGAGACACGCAGCACGGTGCTTGCTGGCTTCACGCTGCCCCTTTTGTGCTGGTGCCTTTTGCTAGATCTGGCTTTGTTTCAAACTCCACTGTGCTAAAACCAGCCCAGTGACTTGAGTTGATCCATCCATTTTGAAAAACAGGGATTGTGCAGAACACCCCCCTTCAAAGAGTGGTACTGAAGCGTGTGAAACATCAGCGGGATGCTTTTGTCATATTGATGCAGTGCGAAGGGTTGTGGAGAAACCTGTTGAGGATAAAAAGCCACCAGAAACATAGCAGGTGCATTTTTGTTCTTTGCTGTGCATGCATTTGCAGCAAAACCTGCAGATACCTCACTCACATCAACTTGAGCAGAAGGCATTATCCTGCAGTGGACAATTTTAAATCAGATTAAAATGCCTTTCAAACACTCTGTCGGGAGCATTCTAAATTTGAGCCGTAAGTGGTTTTTTTTTTTTTTCAGCTGTTATGCCAAATATTCTCCTTTTACCTCATGTTATTAGTAATTCAAGTAAAGAATCTGTAGAAACTTAGATTAGAACATTTTCATGGTGTAAATGCAGTTGTTTTCTGATGGTATTGCTGAGTTCAACTTCTGTTTATGACATGTAGGAGTTTGATAAAATTTAAGCGTTTAAAAAAAAATTCACGAGTTCTCCAGGAGATAGTGCTTTGGTTTTTTCTTTCTTGAAATAGGTGATCTGTATCAGCAATAAGGAAATTATGTGCAATTAGAAATATGCACAATGGTAAAACTGAAGTCATATTCCAAACTAAAACAAATTGAGCTCGGATCATACTGGAAATGGAAACACTTGGTTATTAAGTTAGCATTTAATATAATTGCATACATGAACTTGCAACTTTTGGTATTTCAACTTTTCGATCTAACTTCTCTAGTTTATCATGTCCCCATGAACCTGTTTTCCTATAGTCTCAAGTCTGTAAATCCACTTGGAAATCGCTACAAACATAATAGAATGTAAGTATCGCCTCTTAGCATTTCTGAGACCCTGTTGGCTTCATATGTGTGTCATGTCTACTTTGATGTATCTTTAGCCCTTTTTCCAACATCCCTTGAAGTTGGTGATTGAAGTCATATGGTGTTTTGGTTTCTCTGTGATGCCAGAAGATGCTAGATGTTAAGAAAGTTGTTTCTTTTTTTTTTTTTGTAAGTTTCTTGAGTAGCGACAGCAACAAATCAATTTTTTGTTTGCCTACAATATCAGAACAAAAATTCATGTAGGAAACAAAAATTTCAGCTGGTAAGAGAATTTTTTGTAAAAAGACCTTTCAAAATATTTACCATTCAATAAAGCTGAAATACAGCCCGACATACAACAGCATCCTTTAGAAATGTCTCTCTCATAAAATCAACATTTTGAAGAGAGGAAAAAATACAGGAGAAAACTAACCAAATAATCACCACCCCTTCCTTTTTTTATTTCATTTTTAAAAGACTGTGTCATTGTTAGTTTCTGAGGAGAGCAGAGATCTTCTGAGAAATGACTGCTACAATATTTATGTTGGGGCAGAGTTACTGCTTGGCTAAGTCTCAGTAATATAGAAAGTGAGGAGAACAGGTGGGTGGTAAAGATTGGTTTCTTTGTGGCTCTTTTGTTGTTGTGCGGGTTTTTTTTTTCCCCAGTTAATAAATCCTTTTGGCACTTTTGGCACCGCATTTTTTTACGTGATTTTAGCAGAATTCTGCAGCTTTTATTTTATATTTCAATGTGAATCCAACTTTTGAAGCGAGTCATGATTTACTGAGAGAACAAGCACTGGGCAGTCTGCATCAGTATTGCAAAGTCAGTTTTCTCTGCCGTCACTGTTGAGTTGCATCAGGGTCTGCTCTCCCTCTCCCAGCGTTAAGAAAGCTCGCTGCCTGACCTTTGTGTGAGCCTTTGCAGGGTGGTGGTGGGCTGTCTGGGTATTGCATTGCTGTAACTTACTGTCATATCCTTCTAGGACTTTAGCTTACTGCCAATGGGTGGAAAATCTTCACGAGACGCAAAAGATGGTTTCGCTTTTTGGCCCCTTCAGTGACTTGCTGAAATGGATCCTCTGCCATCTGACCAAAGGGATCGTGAAGCGGGAAATGTACGGCCACGGCATTGGCCGCTTCTCGGAGGAGGAGATGTACACGCTGATGGAGAAGGACATGCGGACTCTAGCAGGCCTCCTGGGTAACGTACAGCGAGTTACGTGTGTTCTGTTTGTTCACAGCCACCTGCCCACAGGATGAAATCGACTGCAAGTACTTGCTGGGAGCTTGATCATGTGCACAAATGATCCCATTTTGTCACTAGGTAGAGTCCACGCTGCTGCTGTCATTCAGTGCCACCCTCGCTCTGTCAGGGACACTGTTTCTTTCCCTGCTGTTTGCTAACAAATTGCGTCTCTAGAAGGATGCTGTTCTCTGAGCACTGGGTATGTGCATCTAGAGGAGCAGAATGTGACCGGCAGTTTTGGGAGAGTGTCTTGCTGTTTGAATTTAGGAAAATGTACTGTTTAGTTCTGCAAATGAAACCTCTTATTTATATTTTGGGGGGTGTCTAATTTTTTCTTTATGGGATAGATTGTTACAAAGCTGCCATTTGAAAACCTACTTTGCAGATGTTGCTTTGATGAGCAGGACTTCATTGCATTTGGTTGCTGTTAGCGTTATTCGAAGCTGCTAGTAGGAGATGGGTCTGTGTTGTCAAAAGCAGTAGTTTTAGGCTTCTTGGCTGTCATGGGTGGATCTTACAGGGTTAGTATTAAGGCTGACCTCATCTAGAATGACATGAGCCTCATTTCTTTTGTGCGGATCAAGCTAAAATCTGCAAGAGAGCTGTCTGCACTGTGCTTCTCACCTTGCAGTCTGCTGAGTGCTAACCATATTGCACTTCTGTGTAAAATTTTCATTTTGAGGAACTGGTTTGGGGCAGATTGTTCCTTCCCTTGAGCTTGTGTGTCTCTTGTGCAAGGAGAGAGATGGTATCTGCGTGGCTGCTTTGTTCCCTGTTATGATCACTTCAAAGAGGTGGCTGAGTGGAGGGCAGGAGGGATGCCTCCCTGCCCTTTGCTCTAGAAGGAGGACATGTTGCACATGCTCTAAATAAGTAAGTGTGGAGTGGATGGAGGTAGCAAGGTGAGGAGAGCTAGCAGAAGGCAGAAACTGAGTGCTTGCTGAGAAGGTGAGGGAAGAGAGATGCTTCTGGACTTCCAGGGTGTTTTGGAAAGGAAGGTATTTGCAGAGGTCCTAGACTGGGCTGTGTAGAGTTTTCTGTAACTGTTTTTCCTGAAACAAACCTGCTGTGTTGCTGGGTTGGGAGCAAGGTGGAAGAAGAGACACGTGATGCATGGCTACAATGGGCAAGGGGGGGTTTTGTTGACAGCTCCCCTTCTGTTAGTGCTTTCTCTTGCTGCATTTTGTTTATTAACAAAAAAAAGTTACCTGTTCTACTGCTCTTTCAAAGAGAACCTGCTTTTGGAGCTTAAGAGGTCCCTTTTCTTCTGGGGGAGGAAGGGAAGGACCAGCTCATTTTAGAGAAGAGGTCTGGGCACATCTGCTGCAGAGCTGTGGCCAGCTCAAGGTGCCCTCAGCTGTGGGACTACTGTTGCCGTAGCTTGAAGGTTGGTACCACGTGGCTCCATGTACGTCGCAGAGAAGAATGGGTTTAGGACGGGAGCTGGAGCAAGTTCAACCTTTGACTTGGGAGCTCAGCAGAGCCCCCTGGTTCTGGCTAGGCAATGCTGGCCAGCTGAACGGAGCAGCAGTGGATGTGTCTATGCTGAAGTCATCCCTGTCTGCCAAGAATAGATGTAGCCTTCAATAGAAAACTGAAACATATTCCCGAATACCCCTAGAATCTCTTGGTTTGCTTACTTGAAATCTGCATCCCTCTGTCTCTGGAGTCTGTACTGACACTCAGATTTGTAAAGTTTTGAGTTCAAAGGGATCATTAAATCAGGCAGATCCCTGTGAATCGGATTGCTTGGTTGCTTTCTTGAGGCCTGTGTCTTTTTTCTGGCTGAAGCATGTCTTTCAAAAGGCATCCAGTTTTAATTATGAGATTTCAGCAGGTGGAGGTGCTACAACTTCCATTAGTAATTGGTGGCAGATGTTAATCACCATCAAAATCTGTTCAAAATCTGACCTGTTTCAAATCAGTTTGTCCAGTTGCAGCCTGCAGGCAGATGCTCCTCCTAGTTCTTCCTCCCTCCCTGGGTGGCATGGGTCATCTCCTTGTGAAGGTAAATGCTATAATCTAACAGTCTCTCATGTTTCTCCTGGGGAAAAACCACTGGAAATCCTCAAGGATAAAGTGTTCTCTTCACTGTATCAATTTTTTTTTAGTTGTGTGATACATATGTTATCAGCAGGGGTTTTATTTTTACTTCCATATTATTGATAAGAATGTTGTACCTTGTGTACTTCAAAAAACCTTGATGGGCATCTGCTGTATTCCTGTTATTTGACTACATTACTAGCTGAATATTGTACATTTTAATCATCTTCCCCTCTGAAATGGATGTCAGATTAGTCAGTGTGCAGTTATGTGAATAGTTATATTTGCCCTTTTGATTATTGGTGCATTTGTCTACTTTTCTACAGTTGCCTTGATTTTTCCTTAACACCAGCATGCTCAGGTTTTCTCCAGCCAGCTGTTTATGGTTGGGTCTAGTAACTGTGGCCTCCAGGTGGTATCCTGGGATGGGGACAGGAGGTGGGATGAGGACTTCCAGCCTGACTGGAGACTCCTGTTTCACAGGGGGGAAGGAGAAGGTGGTCTCCTATTGCCTGCACAAAAATCTTTGTGAGATTCCCCTCCACGTATATGTGCCCATGTGGTTTTGCAGAAGAGGAGGCAGTTGGGATTTTGGCTGGTGATTAAAGGGCAATCTTAAGACCTTAAAAAAGATGCCTATCAGGGAGAATAGCTGCACATACCAAACTGTAGCTGTCAGTCATCAGGCATACAAGACTAATTTAATGTTCCCCAGTTTTTAACAGAGACCATTCACTTGGGAACAAGAATAACTTTTAAATTCCAAGTGCTGCTTCTAGAGAATGACAGCTTGGCAGCTGCCAGGTCTTGTGATGCTCATTTTGACATTCCCAGTCACATCTTGGGTGCTTTTTTCCCCCCTTTCTTCTTCATTTCTGAGAATTGTTTTTCCTTCTCCCATGTACCTATTTCCCTAACAGACTCCTCGAGATCTCTTATAAATGTGGAAGTTGGTACTAATCCTCCTGTGGTGGATCAGCCTGCCCCATTGGTATCATCTTGCTTTCTGTTCTGCAGTCTTTAAACCACAAATGTAATTTCCTTATGTACTAGTAGTTTCCTACTGCCTGGTAGTGTCAAGAAGTGGGGGGAACTGGGCATATGAACTAGTGATATAGAAAAAAAAATACATTTTGGTAATTATTTAAAAGATGCATGTGAGTGAGCAGTGCCCATAAATCTGTTGGTGTCCTCTCAGCTGCCTGCCTGCCTCAGGCTTTTGAGTAAATGGGGGTTTTGAGCAGGGAGTTGCAGGGCAGCAGCTGCCTGAACTGGCTTTTGAAAAGCATTTGATGCTTTGTGGAGGGCAGGGGTGCTCAGAGCTGAAACACAGAGGTGGGACTAACCTCAGTGCGAGCTTCTAATGCTGGTTGGAACGCTCTGCAGCAGCCTGCGTGGGCTCTACCTGCTGCTGTGGGAGAGTGCAGGTCTCTTGCTGGCCCTGTGTCTCATAGATCTGTCTCTTGCTGGGGTTTCTTGACTCAGTGCTGAGGTAGCTGCTTTTTAATTCTCTGGTGCATGCATTTGTAAATAGCAGAGCTGTGTGCCGTCAAATCCCCGGGCAGTACAAATTTGATCGAAGTCCAGTGTGACCAGGTAATTGCATTTCTGTTGGATTATCCAGGGGATGCAGTGAGGTGTTTGAGGTGGTTAGCACTGTGTCAGCCTTGATGCGACAGGAGCTGTGTAATCTGGAATAAAATTAAACACTGGGAGATTGTATCTGGTCCGTCAGAAAGTCTTCTGGAAAAGCGTTGCACTGGGATTTTTGGGAATGGATTAGAACTGGTAGAAGGAAATGTGCATGGAGTCTGTGTTATGCAGTGCAGGGTGACTTAGCTAAACCCAGATTTACAGTTTTTGTGGAACCACAGCTCTATTTTCTCCTCTTCCCCTTTGTTTCCACGCGTATGAAGGTGCAGGTGTTGTGCCTGGGAGCCACTCTTATCTGCAAAAGAGTGGGATGGTTCAGCCCTCGCTTACTGCCTGCCTTAGTTGTAGCAAGATGGAAATGGCAGTATTGCTTCCCAGCACAGCATTGCTATGGATCAAGTCTCAGACCTGGTTGTATGTACTAAATTCCTAGTGTTGGCATGTAACTGTGGTTTGGGGACCAATTTTTGAGCTATGTTTGAGATCGATGAATGCTAGGCATCCCATAAATACTGAAAAGACACAACATTTACCCAGTTCGTAGTTTTCAAACAATAGATTGATGCAGCAGTGAAAGAGCTGGGGAGAGTTAACTCCATGTTGAAATTCCATCTGACAGGCTAGAGGAGGTTGTTGTTACTGGTTATTCCTGGGTGCTGCTTTGCTACACTATGGTACAGGGGGATGGCAGCATTTGTTGTACCACACTCTGGAATTTGATTCATTTTACTGCTGGACAGTTTTTTCTAAACTCCCTCAATAACCCTAACATTTAATAACCTGATGAATTACAGGCAGCTTATATTGGACAGGGGAAGAATGTCCTGGGGAGATGGGATAACTGGATTTGGAGAATTCAATTACATACCACATTTCACAGCGTTTGTAGCACTTTGGGCCAACACAGGGACAATGCAACCATCTAACCTGACCTCTGCGATATCGCATACTACACCTGCATGCCTTGTGTGTGGTCTGTGATCCAGTTCTTGTGCCTGTGGTGAGGAAACAAGATTGTGCTGGATGTTTCTTTGCAAACGGTGGCTTAGAAATGTGATTTTCTTACCTATCGTAGGTAGTTATCCATCTGTTTGTGCTGTGATGGCCACTTAGGACCATCACGGCGTTGGGGTGCCCAGAGAAGTAAGCAGAATAGTGGTGTGGAGCAGACATGTCCCTCTTCTGGACCAGGCCAGTCCCAAGCAGCTGCTGTTTCACTTGCTTGCCTGACGTGCCTCTGTTTGGTCCTTGCCAGGTAGAAACCAGTGTTTGGGGATGGGGGCACCGCACTGGTGGTGTGTGAGGGGCTGTTCACTCCTGCCTATGGCTGTGTCCTCCTCCTGGAGATGCAGGTCATTTCTGAGAAGTCGCTGCCAGCCTGACTGGTGCATCGGTTTCAGCCTGAGCAGTGGTGGGAGAGGAAAGCTTTGAGTACGACTTTCTTTTTTAATGTGATCGGATGCGTAACCTGAAACTGGATCTGCACACACGAGAGATCCAGGGTGACCAGCTTCTTTCATCAGGTGCATTCATGATTCTGAACCGTGGTTGAACGATTTTGGGTTTGCATCAAAGGAGAAAATCGTGCTTTCAGGCACCTGCTGTCTGCAGAAAAGATTTTAAATGCAGAACTAGTGCAGTGTGTGTGTGCTGCCAGCTGTGATGAGCGGAGGAGGTTACTTGGCTGGTGGTGGCTCTGTAGTTGGCCTAGTTAGAGAAGTGGTGAGCACAGGGGAAGCTGCAGTAATGGATTTCACCTGCTGACCCCTAGCAACAGCTTTTGAACCGTATTCAGCATTGAATCCCTGTCTTTGAAACTGTGAACCTTTTCAGCTAAATTACTTCAGTAAAAAAAAAAATTGCTAAAGATGTAACCAGGGAAATTTTTATTTTTTATTTTTTTTTTTAATTGAGGAGAAGTGACATACAGTTGAGATATATTTGCTGTTGTATTTACAGGTGACAAGAAGTACATTATGGGACCAAATGTTTCCACTGTTGATGCCACTGTCTTTGGGCATTTGGCACAGGCAATGTGGACACTTCCAGGGACTCGACCAGAGAGGCTAATCAAAGGTAAGAAAGCTTAAGTGATCGCTGAAACAAATTCTTGGTGGTATTTGCTGTGTTTAAACTTGGAGCACCTTGAAAGGACATGTGAAGAGTGCAGCAGCACTTCAGCTGCATTGCAGGCTGTTCTTGCCTTTGATGTAGCATTTGTATCCTGTAATGTTGTTTTCTCTTAAAATCCCTGTTTGTTTTCTCTTTAATGTTCTACACGGTAATTGTTTCTGTTCCTGTACTTGATCTTTTCCCTGTTTGACATAGCAAAGACTGAACACCTTTAAGGAATGAATCCTGGGTAAGGTGTGAAGAGACAGAAGCACAGCCATGAGCCAAATTCTGCTGAACTGAGTAGTTCCATTGACGGTAGAACTGCAAGTGCTATTGTCCCACTGAAATTACAGCCTCTCCTGGGCAAGGAACAAGTCCAGCCTGACTTGGGAGTCACTGTTTTTGCATGAATTGGAAACCAGTGTACCCTTCCCCTCCCCACATTTTTTTTTATTTTCTTGTGGGTTAGTACAGGCATGTGAAAGTATCTTTGCCTCCCTTTTCAGAATAAAACCACTCAGTATGAAAAATGGGAAAAGCTAAGGAGGAAAAGGGTGTGAAATAGGTGTAAAAGGAATGAATCTGACCTGTAGATGTACTCTGCAAGAGAGCGCTACCAAAGCAACAGTTAGGAGTCACAGACTTGCTCAGTAATAAAACTTTGAGAAAAACAGTTCTTGAGATGAGGGCATAAGTACTGTTGTGTGGTTCTTCCCCTTGATGTCTGTGGAATCATGGATAAAATTCTGAAGTGTCCAGGAAGGAATGCTATGTTTGTTGAACTAGTTTGTCTCTAACAAAAATAAATAGGTGGTAATAGATGCAAATACCTGAGCAGTATGGATGATTCTCTGTACCTATCCACCTACTCATGCTGTTGTGAGTGAAGGTTTCACATACACATTCCCTTTAATATTCTATTATTTCTTTTCTTTGTTCTTTGAATTTTGTGGTAATTTCTTCTCTAAGCACACTCGAAGCATACGTGTCTATATAAACATAAGGCATAAGGTCCTAGGGCAAGGAACATTAGGGTGGGCCAGCAACCGTATGAAAGCTTTTTTAAAATGTGAATTTATCTTGCAGACAACGCTGCCATCTGGTGGTGGAAAGCCCCAGATCACTGTGTTTTAATAAGTGTATTGTATGTATGGGATCAAATTTTGTCTTTGGAAACCGGGTTTCTGCAAAATAAGCAAGAATTTTACTATGAAGAGCTTAGAGTATTGGTGTCTTCTCTTGATTTATTTCTGTAGAGGCTGACTTTTGGATAGTTATTTTGCTACACGTATTTACGTTCATTCCAGTGTAACCCTTGTTGTATGTAGGTTAATAACAGGTGGAAGTTACAAACAGAACCCTAAGAGGATTGATGGGGTCTTGGCATTTTGAAACCTCTGTGGAAGGAACCTGCACAATTTGTTTCCAAGAAGTGCTAATGTGTTTCTGCATCAGCAGGTGAGTTAGAGGATTATTGACTGGATGTATTTACTGGAGTCTGTTGTGCTGTGTTGCAGGTGAACTGATTAACCTTGCTATGTATTGTGAAAGAATAAGGAGGAAATTTTGGCCAGAATGGCACCATGATGATGATAACACTCTATATGAATCTGAGGAAAGCAGCGAAGCAAGCAAGACTTACTCTCCTTTGCAGGACTTCAGTTTTTATTCAAGGACAGAAACATTTGATGAGGAAGGGAACAGTATTTCTCAAACCCCTGACACAGATTACACTGGACACTCCCTCTTTGATTCAGATGTGGACATGGACGAGTACAGAGATCATGAACAATGCAAGTGATGCGTACAAGCATCTCTCATTTTGCAGACAAGCTGTTTCTTGGGATCAGTCTGATTTATTTTCCCCTTCAGGTCAGGAAGAGGTTTATACCACTTTGAAAGAGACCATTGTTCTTGACTCAGCTGTCATGTGCTACCTGGACTATTTCAACCTTATTTCATTTTGTGTAACTGTTCAGGTGGAACCAAGGTACACCGTTATTTAAAACACACGTGGGCAAACTGGAGGTCCTGAGGGCAACAGGACCTTTCAATCTACATTTTTGTTCATGTTCAAAACGAGATCCCACAAACAGGTGGGACGGACCTCTGGGAAGTGGAGCATTTGTCAGAGCTGGTTTGTGTTGATATCTTGTCTTTACAGGAATGGACTGAGGGCAAAAACGGAAAAGGCATGACTGGCAGACCTTTCTTCCATGGAAGAAAATGATTGATGCTGTATTGATTTGGCGGAGTTTCGGTGGGATTTTATTTGATGCTACGCGTACCCTGAGTGCATGTGTTATTACAGTGTTTGCAGGAAAGAACTGCTCCCAGTTCTTTCAGAGACAGTTGAGGAAGGCAGGAGGAAAATATGTTCCTCCAGAAGGGAGCTTTTTAGTGTTTCTTATTGTTTGCAGAAGATCAAAATTGCTACTGTAGAATAATTTTTATTCAGAACGGAAATGTCAGTTTTAATGTATAATCTCCCAAACACTCATCTGGAATGTGTGTTGGCCAAATTTCTTCTATGTTTTTCAATTATTATTATAATGTTGTTTTTATTTCCTGCCACTGGCTGTTGTCTGCTATTGCTAGGCAAGGCTAAAGAATTGGGATTTGTTACTAAATGTCTGGTGTGTCTCAGCAGTGGGTGCTTTGTGCTCTTTACCAACAGACACGTCAAACCCATGAAGCTTACAGAATGGTTTAGGGTATTTCTAGGCATGGGATGCTGTGTAAATGCAAAATGTTGGTCCAGGCAATTGAGTGCTTTAGAGCTGCCTAGGAAGGTGCTTCAGTGGGTGCTGGGCACTGTGCTGGCTTACAGTGCACAATCCCTAAAGCTCTTGCACGGGAAGCAGTTAAGATAGGGCAGCTGCATCAGCACCGCCGTCTGTGGGAGTTTCCAGGTGCTGGAAGCATGACCAGAATTGATTTTAAGGCACCTTTGCTAGCACATCTGTGAATCTGGAACCCCAAATCCATGATGATTGCACAAGTGCCGACATGCTTCGTGTTCATGTCTCCCTAAATGCAGGTTAGAGGTGAGAATGAATCTGTTGGATTTACTCAGCACTTTGAAGATAAGCATGTACATCACTGTGCTTGGCCATGACGAGTTGGTTTTAAGTAAAGATAAAGCATATAGAACATAGAAAGCTGTGGTATTTGTAGACATGCTTATAAAATTGTGTATTTGCCTGCAGATTTTGGTGATGGCCTGTTTAAAAATGTTTTAATTACGACTTTCTCAATGAGTTACAGTTAGACGAATTGGGATCCCTCAGCAAAATTTTTATAATGGCTTCATTGTGCCATGTGTTCTGGGAGCAGACAGGGCAGACAGCTGCCTTAGGATGTTAGTTGTTGGTAGTCATAATAGTCTGGAGCTTGAAACATCTCCAGCCTTCAAAGACTACCTCTCTCTCTTGGATTGTGGGGTGTCCCCTGCAGAGGGAAGCACTTGCTCTGGGGAAACGCCACACTAGCTGTGGCTCTGAAAGCAGGGGTCACATGTCTCCAGTGAGTTCCCAGGTCAGTTCATGCACGAGAGCCACCACAGGGAGGGCTGACAAGTTTGGTGTGGTCTGCGATGGGTGTGAATTTGCACCTTTTCCCCAGTTCCCAAGGTGTGTCCTTGGAGCCATGTTCCAGTCAATGGTCTCCGTTGCTGTGGACAAGTATCATTTGCAAAGTGAACCAAAACCAAGGAGGAGGAAGATATTATTCAGTTACTTGGGACCCTTCTCAGGAAACTAAGCACAGGAACAGGGCACAAGAAGATAAGTCTTGGGCTTGAAAGCACGAAAGTGATGGCCTGAAATGCCTGGGAAACTTCATAGCCCCGTCAGGGCAGATTCTGCCTGCAAAAATGTAGGTATTGATATTCTGTGTAAAAGGCATCCATGGCAACAAGCTCCTTTTTAAAACATGTTTATGTGTTGGAAATGCTGATGGAGATGTTCTCATTCATTTACCCGTGTGTCTTTGAAGGCTGTACGTTCTCCATCTTTCCAGCTTTGGGAGGGTGTGCTTGCAGCGGATGAATCCCAGCTGTGAGTCACAGTTACTAAAAGACCAGCCTGAGTTCAGGGGACGGTATCACCTTTGCAATTTCGGTGGGCTGACAGATCTGTCATGCCAGCGGCCTTTGCAACACCCGGAAACGCAGCTTAACTGAAGTCAGCGACGTCACTTTCCCCTCCCACGTGCGTGTAGCCGGATCTGGATTTTGCAGGGCCGCACGTAGCGGCGGGCACAGACACGGATGGTGCCGGTGCGGGGCACAGCCCGTGTCAGGCCGCGGCCTCGTGTGTCTGCCAGCACTCGG